TGATTTAAACCAAATAATTTTAAAAATAAATCCCCATTAAAGAAGACAGGTTCAAGACCTATTTCTGGGGTGGAGAAAGGCGGTTTTTAATTTTCACATGGGCAGAGTATTTCGGGTTTGAGTAAGGATGTTGCCCCTACTTTAAAAAATTTGGGAAGAGCCCTGCCTGTTTTGGCCAAGGGGATAGAACACCGGCCTGCAGACTGAAGGGTCCCAGGTTCGATTCTGTTCAAGGGGCCCATGCCTAGGTTGCAGCCTCGATACCCAGTGGGGGGGGGGGGGGGGGTGCAGGAGGCAGCTGATCAATAATTCTCTCTCATCACTGATGTTTCTCTCTCTCTCTCTCCCTCTCCCTTCCTCTCTGAAATCAATAAAAATATATTTTAAAAAATATATATGGGAAGAAAAAAGTAGGCTTGGGTAGTAAAAAAACCAGTATGAGTTTGAGATGTCTGAATAACATTCAAATCCAGACAGTCAATAATTAATTAGTATGTATTCCAAAACTGACTGTAAAGTCTGAATTAAAATACAGATTAGATGTGTAACAATGTGTACAAAGAGAAAGGAAGGAAAAGAAAAACCCTCAAAACAATGAGACTGAACAAAGAAAGTTCAGAGATAAGACTGAACCCAAATCAGCTCAGAAACATTAGCATTTAAGAAAAAAGAAGGCCACAAATGAGACAAAACTACGAATAGATGGAAAAAAATAAAACATTATACAATACAAAAGAAATTTTACAATAGTAAAAATGTTAGGGACAAAAAACAATCCCTTACATGTAATGAATTTCCAATCTGAAGTCTAAGTCCGATTGGAAATTACTGCCAGGCTTTAAACAATAGAATCTGAAAATATCTACTTTTTCTTTACTAATATAACAAGAGAGTTATTACTTCATTACATCTAAAAGCACTTTCATATATTAACAATTATGTAAAACAAACAATAAATTTTTAATACAATATTGAGATATGTAGAAATGTATTAAAATGGTATCTGCTTCTCCACAACTGTGGTTAAGTGCTGATTTCATATCATTGTTACCCCGTATAAGAGAAAAACTTCATCACCCAATCTCAGAATGATTAAATGAGTAGCTCTTAGAGAACCCGTATCTGAAATGTAGAGTCAAAATAATTCAAATAAACCTACCTGAAGATGACATTCTGCAAAACTATCGTTTAACAGACTTTTACTTAAATTAAAAAGTATAGGTGATTTAGGGCACGTCAGAGTTAAATTACTTTTTATATCCTCATCAAACTAAGCATAAAGAGACTGTTGATTCTAAGTGAATGTCCTCACTTAGTGTTGAACTGTGCATTAGAATACAGAAAGAATTCCATTAAAGCAAACTACCTTTGACTAAAAGAATAACTTTGAGGAAGGAATCAAATGACACCAAGTGTCACCTCCTAATTCATCCTACTCCTCCTCCACTTTCCCAAACCTCCCATTATGCATCTTTAAACAGAACACAGCAAACCATTAGCCATACATTCTCTACACCAGTGGTAGAGCAAACCATCACTCCCTTGCCCAACACTCTACTCTGCCCCCCACCAACTGAGAACAAGCTTTCACTAGAAAGTTTCCTAAAGGAATGGGTGAGGGGATGGGAAGGAAGGGCCTTCTGTCCTCATGCTTGTTTTGCCTCCGTCTGTCTGTCTCCCTCACTAGTCTCCAAGTTCTTCAAGGGCATTTTACTGTTTTTTAACTGTATGCTTTCTCCATTAAACCACAAACTGAATCTTTTCTCCACCTTGCTTACCACTGAATCCCAAAATATAAGCTGATACCTGTTGAATGAATTACTCAGTTTAATACTCTTATAAATATAGGGATATCACAGAACTTTCAGTAAATGTTCACTAAGTAAATGACCCAACTGAATCTGTGTCCCTAAACTTTTCAATGAAACACTTTTTTAAAGTCAGTCTTAAAGGGTAGCCATTGATGTCCAAACTTTTTAAAATGAGACTTTCATCCATAACACTAGAACAACCTGTTCTATCATCAGAGCTAGTAGTTCTTCAATATCTAAAAAAAGTGAAATATATGGGTAAGTCATTGTGTAGGGCTTTTGGTTGTTGAACTTGCTTCTCTATTACTAGTCTCTTACTATAGCAACATTACAACTTCTCTAGGGAGAAAGCCTCAAACTTTGTGGAAATTTCCTGACCTAAAACTAGTTTTAAAGGTTTCTAGGTCCTTAACAGCAATACACACATGGTTATCCAGTAGAGGAAATTTCCTCTCTGGAAACTCAGCCTGTCAGAAAGTAAATGCAAAAGAGTTAAATTCTGGAAAAAAATTTAGTGATTACCCAGAGGCATTTTTTTCTTTCATCTAGAACTATATAAAATCATCCACACACATAAACTTGATATAATAAAATGCACTTAGTGCCCCTCAAAATATTTCGTAGTTTTAAAACCAAATCTTTACCTAACAAGCAGCTCACAGACATTTCCACTCAGAAATTTGCAAATGCCCTGCAATGCTTACAAAATAAAGGAGTTATAGAATATTACTCTCACATAATACCTGAATACAATGTTTTAAAATTTTCTAAAACTACTTACAAATTTTCCGTTGTAAAATAATTTTGCTTTTGGACTCAATCTTGTACAATAAAAAATTCAACATCTTTAAGCAGTGGGATGGCTATACATTTCACAAAAATGGTTCTCTTCATAGCTACTGAAACCGAAATACAGGACACTGAGTCCTCCAAATGGGAACTTACTTCACACTTAACTGCAGATAGGAAGGAATCCGCCTTCTACTTGGGATCGTCACACACTTTTACTACTTCTAAAAAGAAACTGTTCAGTTTAACTCTCTTCCCTAGGGTACCCTACGTATCAAAAAGCAAATGGGCCGGAGAGCCCCTTCGATGCCTCCGATCACCAAGTCAGATCAATGCCTGTGGGCATCGCTGCAAAATCAATCAACGGCGCTCAGAGCCGAGTGACACCTGATCAGCCTTCTCGAGCGGGGGTCGGCTGAGAAACCACAAACGTGAAGGCAAAAGCCGCGAACACTGAAGACTCCGCAGCGAGAGAGCTCCATTCAAGGGCTCGACAAGAGCCGACACACAGCAGGTCGGCCCCGCGCGGAAGGTAAGCCGAGGTGTCCCAGCGGAGGACAGAAGGCGTCTACTACCCGCCTACCACTGCCCATCCTGGGGCTGACGCAGGGCCTTCCAGCCGCGCGCCTGGGTCTCCGCCAACGCCGCCGGCGAAGTCAGAACCAGAAGACTTTCTGGGCTCCTCCGCCTCCCCGGCTCCCCCCGGACCTGACAGCCGACTAATCAGCGGGGCAGGAAGGCAGGTAGCCACCCCCTCGGCGAGAACCGAGGGCGGGCTCCACCCAGCCCTTCCCGGGAGGTGGATGGAGGGAGCGCGGGCCGAGGGGTGGTCCTCTCCCGGAGCCGTGTCCAGGGCCCGCCGCGCCGCTGCTCGCCTGCCCTCCTGCCTCCCGACCACCCGCGCGGGTGACGAACGCACTTGCGCCAGCCCCAGACCCCCGTCTCCACCGCAGACCGGCGCGCACGCGGGAAGGTCACCACCCACCCACGCCCTCCCAGGCCACGCCCGTCGTTCCTCGGGGGCCAAGGACAAGTGCCAGGCGCGGGCAGCAGCGCGGGCAGCACCAGGAGGCGCCCCCGCGGGACCGCAAGATGGCGGCGGCGGCAGAACCGGGCCCCTCCGCCTCTCCCGGGCCGGAGCGCGCACCGAGACGCGGGCGGGCAGGGGAGGGAGCGGGCCCGGGCGCAGGGCCGGCCCGCCGAGAGCCGGAGCGAGGTTCCGCCCGAGGATGGAAGTGCTGGGGCGTGGGGGAGGGGCCGCTCGCCGGGGCCCCGGCCGCAGACATTCCCTCCACGCCCATCATCCACTCCAAATCAAGCCCCCCGCCCGCCGCACCCCAGTCTGGGGCCGCCTGCTTCCTGCCTACCTTTGAATTTGAGGTCTGTGGGAGGGTCGAGGACCAGGATCTGCTCGTGCTTCGCCATGGCCCCAGAGGCGGACGCCATCGGAGAGACAGCGCAGAGCGGGGGCGCGCCCGCGGCGGCGGCTTGCTAGCTGGCTGGGGACGATGGCGGCGACGGCTCAGCCGAGCTCTACGATGGAGGCAGCTCACGGCTCCCGCACCCCAACGCCTGCCGCTACGGGGCCGGTTGCTGGGCAGCCCGCTGGTTCAGCAGCTCGGGGTCTCACAACTGACTCAACCCCACACCAGCCGCCCGGCCACGCGCACTGCGATCCTCAGGGCCCCACGTGATGACTGCTGCGTGCCTACGTGCGCGCCCCCGCGGCCGGGTGCTCCTAGCGCACGTCCCGCCCTCGAGTTCAGCCCTACGGGGCGCGGGCTGGTGCGCCTGCGCGTCGCGGCCTCACCGCCGCTGGGAGTACTCCCTCAGCTGTCAAGGGAACGGGTGTGGGCAGAGGGCGGAGCTAAGCTCCTTGGGACCGACGCGGTGAGCACCGCAGAGCAAGGGGGTACAATCCTCGGTCACGTTTTAGCTCCTATTACGAAACTGGGGAACTCGCCGTGGCAATACACCGCCATCTTCCAAGTGGGAATGCCTAATATAAGGAAGAAGTAGTCAGACTCATCCACAACTCCCAGCATGCTCCATTCGGGGGCGGAGCCTCCGCCCGGGGCCTGGTCCCTTTGCGGCACTGCGCGATGCTTGCTGGGAATTGTAGTCGTGGTTGTTTGTGGGCGGGAAAGAGACTGAGGTCCGTTGGAGGCAGTGGGGTGGGGCGCGCTGACACTCATTTTGGCTCTCAGATAGCGTCATGTTTGCGCTAAAAAAAAAAAAAAAACCCACTTGGAGACTGATCCGAGGTTCCCTGGTTAAAAATAAAAAAACATTCTCTGCGAAAAACATGCCGGGATTTTTCGGTTTGCTCTTTAATTCTATCTGTCCCTCTATTGATAGAGGTAAATTCTCTGTCGTATTCCAATCCAACCTCTCTCCTGCTTCCTGAAAAAAAGATGAGGAAACACACCTCGTTTAAGAATCAAGCGCGCCGTTGGGGAAATCTGACAAGCGAGAAATAAAAGTCAAAATCTACAGCATTCCGTTGCTGTAGTCTGTTCTCAGTTTTGGTTAATAATAAATCCGAACCAAAACAGTTGTCACGTTCACATATTGGAAATGAATGCCATCTGCATCGTTTACAGGAGCATGTAGCAAACTGAAAAATCCCAGCAGCAAACTTGCTGACAAATCTTTAACCGATTGACAAGGTAATCGGGGACAGGAACATTAAATGAAAAAAAAAAACACTGAATATGCTGTAAAGTAGCCTTTATAGTAATACCTGAATTTAAATCCCTAGAAGCACCACGAAACAGAGGATATATTGGTGCTGCTGCCATGAAAGAGCAGACCAGTTTGTCCAGGAAATAAACGAGGCAAATGGAACAAGAGTCTGGGCGTAGACACAAAGTATATCTAGGAAGAGCCCTCCGGAATAGCTAACTAGCATTCATAGAAGACTGTGCTACACGAGAGTAATGCATCTTCAGCCATGAAAAACCTCGGAGGATAGGAGTGCTTAAATCATTTGAAAAGCATATTCTAAATGTACCTTTACTTTGATTTTTTTATGCACAAATTTATTTTGAAATTTCAATGATTATTAAAAGAATACAAAAATTGTATATTTATAAAAAGGGAGTTTAAGATTTTTTTTTTAAAGTTGAGGTTGACATTCATGCACAGGATGGTGTCCCACATATGTTTAATTATGAACTGACAACCCTAAAACTGACACAAACTTTCTTTTTCTTTTTTTCTTTCTTTTTTATTTATTTATTTATTTATTATTATTTTGCTTGCCGAAGAACTCTTATTCATAGGCAAGTTAGCCTGGGCTGAACTGGCTCTGGCTCCTCCATAACTGGATGGATACTTCTCCATAAAGAAATCTCTGGTCTGCAAACAGCCACTTCGCAGGTATAGCATGCTGAGAAAGATCCCAGTCACTCTTTTATGGGACAATGGCTGCCCATTCACCCTGAGTTCAATAGGAAGCTGAAATGGGATGTATTCCAGTTTCCAGCCTATATATCATTAAGAAACATCTGCTGATGTAAGCTGTCACCTTTGGAATCAACTGCTTTTCTCTTCTTAATATTGCTTCAAAAATCATATAGGCATAGTCTTAATGTGGATGTGAGTTTAAATATGTGGTAGTCTACTAGTAAGAATACATGAAATGTTTTTTGGAATAATTCTCCTATTCTGTTTTAGAGCACTGCATTAATAATGGCTCAGGGCCCTCCTGAATCATCTACCCTTCATTAACTAGTGCTCCAGTTCAGTGGTTTGTGCTTGGGTGTTTATTACTACCTTTCTTCTAACAGTTCAAAGAACTTGATAAACATTATTACACGCTACTCAGAACAACCTTATAACAGCAAGTGTTATTTTTATTGTTAAATATGAAAATGAAAACAAAGGTGAGAGCATCTCATGTCAGTAATAGAGCTAAACTATGGGAAGAAACTCACCCAGTTTTTCAGTCTGTGCATTTTTGTCCTTTCTAAAGCCACAATAAAATGGCAAGAGTAACTAAGGCAACAATTTACAATGTAATTGACTTCGCTATTGTTTAACAGTTAAGCTTGGAACAGAGAAACAAGGGGCCTAGTGTTCATTTTTGCATTGATTAATGCAGCATATAGTGGTCTCTGCTATATTAGCATAAAAATATATACTCAAACATAGTTCTCTAGATTCAAGTTTTCCTGAATCTAAGAGGCATGAGGCCTTTAATATTACTTCAACCTACTTGATTACTAATGTAGTCACCTTTGGACAGATTATCTCTTGTAGCTTTGGCAAAGATTAAAAAAACACACACACTAGTTTTCAGTACAAATGGTAACAAAGTATACTTTGTCCAATAGTAAAGTTTAACATGTCCAAAACATGTTAAACTTTATTATTGAGGTTCTCTATATTTATGAATATGTTTATGAACTGCATAATTCAGTTCAGTAAACATTTATTTTTTTAATGTTTTTATTTATTTGAGAGAGAGAGAAGGGAAAGGGATAGAGAGATAGAAACATCGATGAGAGAGAAACATTTTTTAAATATATTTTTATTGATTTCAGAGAGGAAGGGAGAAGGAGAGAGATAGAAACATCAATGATGAGAGAATCATTGATCGGCTGCCTCCTGCACGACTTCTACTGGGGATCAAGCCCGCTACCTGGGCATGTGCCCTGACCCGGAATGGAACCATGACCTCCTGGTTCAAAGGTTGAAGCAGTAAACGAGTACAAACTTTGTTTCTGAACTGCTGGATTCAAATCCTACTCTCTACTACATGGTCTTTGCAACTAACTTCACCACTCTGTGCTTGTTCTACATTGCTGGGGCTGACGGGCAGACCTGAGTGATGGATGAACAGATTTCTCTGACTTACGTTTCTGTGAAAGAGAGGGCTAAGGGACTGTTCTACCTTAGAAGTAAACAGCAGTCCTGTTCGCCTACCTTCTTAGGCTTTTATTGTCACGACAGCTTAAACTAAAATTAACCTCTAGATACAATTAGCAGGGTAAGTATCCTTGAGAAAGTATATGCTTCTACAAGGTCATGTCTTTAAAGACTAAACATAGACACTAGCAAAACACCCGGGGGATCAGACTTGTTTGGAAAAGGCAAGGTAGGGGCTGCAGCCTTCGGCAAGGTCCCTCAGAGGCCTCTGACCTTTCAGAGATTCCTCCTTCTAGACCTTCCAACCAAGTCCTGCACTTCCCCTCGCTACATCTGTCAACTGGGGTGAATATTACCTACGTCTGAGGTTTGTTATAAAAATTAAATGATTTACTCTACAGGAAGAGCTTAAAATAGTGCCGGGTTCCAGGACTGTTACCTTACGAATGTTAAATTATGGCTGTGTGCCCGGCACAATGGGAGGTGATATTGTGGTGAACCAATAGACATGGTTTCAGCCCTTACAAGCTTGTGTCCAAGCAGGAGAGACACACATGAAAGCTCTTTTGCATCTAGGATTCTGTTCTTGAAATAAGTTCAACCAGTGAATTACACTCATGTGATGTTGGAAAGTTCTAAGTGAGAGGGAGGAGGCCAGTGTTCCGTGCCCTCTGGCTGTTTTCCTGCTGAGGCAGGAGCACAGAGACAGGAGGCTTTCTGCGCAGCATCCAGCGCCCATGGACTAGCTTCCTGGGTATCAAGAGGCAGTGAGTTGCTGCAGAGTCAGCAGAAGCACGGCTCCTTCCCAAGTCCAGCTTCCTGTTCCCTGGGTCAGAAGTAAGCAGTGCAGCCTCAGAGGCGGCAGCTGCCCTGGTGGTGCAGTTCAGTCTTGCCCTGGGAGGCATTCCTGCAGAGCCTCGTCCAGAGCCTGCTCTCCCACCCCGCCCCAGCATTTAACAAGCACCTCATTTCCTTTATTGTGCTGCTTCCTGCTTCTGATAGTAGGGTGCTACAGAGAGATAGGTGTCAGGGGAGCCAAGAGTGGATCAAGAATGTGGTCAACGGTATAGAAATCTGCTGAATTGTGCTCTGAAGTGAGGACTGGAAACCTTTCACCTGACAGAGTAACAGGATGCTGGAAGCAAAACCTACTTGAAACAGCCACTTCACACAAAGAGCTCTTTCTCAAACAGATGGATATGCTAGAGAGTGATAACCAACTGAAATATGTACAAGGTCAGTGCATATCACAGGGATGCAATGCTTGTATAAATGTGGTTTTGTTGATGGTGCTTATTGTAGCAATTTTGTCAAACTTCTGTGAGAAATATAAATTCCAAGACAAGGCAGATGGAAGCTTCGCCAGATAAAATCAAGTCTGGAAGAAGAGTTAGAAAAAGACTTATTCTGGGGATGTTTGTTTGTATAACCACTTAAAGCAGTTAAAGCTATAAATTAATCATCTTTGTATATGAAAAATAATTTGAATATGTGTTTTCTCGATCTCTTATACTGTAAAAGCAATACCTGCTTATTGTAACAAGTGACACAATCCAAAAGCAAATGAATTAAGTTTCCTCTTATCCTTCCCAATTTCCACTCCACTGAGGATAACCAGCGTTAATTGCCTGAGCTGTGTATCACTCCCTAACTTTATCCATACTTAGAAAAATATAGCTAGTTTGTTTTGGATTTTTCCCCCAAGTAACATATTACTATGCAATTGCTTTATTCACCTAACAATATATTATGGATATATGACCAGGTCAACTGACATAGATCAAACGCAGTCTTTTTTATTTTTTAATCCTCACCAGA